TTCTGCATGCCCAAAATTGTTTAAGATTTTAATTTCCAAACATTAAAGTCTTCTTAACAATGATGTTTTCTCTACTGTATGCAGAATTTAGATTTTTTCAGAAATTCTTAATTTATAATATAAATTGAAAAATATTTGTGAGAATCAATGCGTTTTGGAAATCTTTTACACTTCAATCGTTATTTAAACGGTTTTGAATGTTTATTAAAAAACTATTTATAGCGCACTGTTTTTTGTCTGCGAGTCACTATAAACGGTTCCATATTTGGTTACGTTGCTTGAACATACAGTACATAGCCAAATCATTATACTCAAACAAAAAGTTCTATATTTTGTAACTTTAACAGACGTAATAGAACAGATATTTTTATTATAATGTTACAATATATTATTCTTACAATATGATATTACATTGCAATTGTTGGAAATAAATATGAACTTGAAGAATTTGTGTTTTGTATTTCGCGTTCTTTTGTTCTCAATAGTTGTATCATTATACATATTCATAGAGCACGTTTACGAAGGTAGCACAGGAAGTAAATTTTCTTCAATACTTCTGCCTAGAGTTTGTTGTAAAAGGATTGTATAAAGAAAGTTTAATCTATTGTAATCAAGTTATAATTGTAATTTCATTTTATTTAAAGTTACAAACTATTCATGAGTTATTCTGTATAACTTGTACCTTAGCTTTATTCGTTTTGCAAGTTTTACGCAAATTCTTAAGTAAACAACAAAAAGACTCTCATTTAATTCTGTATATCCTCTAAAAATAGTGCAATATAATATAATATTTTCACAATAAATATATTGTTTATTTTGTTGTAACATGTTATTTGTTAACAATAATGTATGTAATTAAAAGCAAAAGTTGAGTACTTAAACATTAGTCGAACACTATATTATACAAGAAAATATTGTTATTTAAAATTTCATCGTACCGTCTTTTTTCTTTACTACCCTTAATACATAAAAATCGAGCACCTGCCGAAAATAGCGTCGCTTAAACCGAAATCGTGGTTT